CCCTCTCCAGGTTGTAATCATACTTCTCGAGTGCGAGAAGGGAATCTTCTCTTGAGTAGCCCATGCTCGTGAGGTTCTTCAAGATGGGGTCGTCATGCTCCCCATCTCTGGTCAAAGCACGGCCAGGTGTAGGTCGGGAGTCTGAAGTCGCAGGAGGGACTTCTGCACCCTTGTCTGCGTTGGCGGCACTGGGAGAGTCCAGGCTAGCAAAAATGGCATCCCAGTCCTGCGCATCCGGCACCGTCGCACTCTTCGTGCCCGCACCGTTAGTGCTGCCAGTGGCAGCATTAGGGGACACAGCGCCAAAGTCGTAACTACTTTCGTGCCCAAAAGCAGTGGATTCTGTCTTGACCTGGCTTGGAGGGGGGCTGCTGTCGAAGACAGGGTTGAAGTCATCGAGACCAGATCTGGAGATTGTCTGGAAGTCATCATCGGCAGAGCCTTCCTTGGCATCCTCGAGACCCTCGAAATCATCATCGAGGTCATCAAAGGAGGACTGCGGCTTGGGTGCGGCGGATGGTTGTCCAGCGGAGGCGGCAGGAGCAGTCGTCTCAACAGCTTCCGCTTCCGATGTCACCGGGGCCTCCGGGAGTGTAGACGTATCAACGGGGGCGGCTTGGGGCTCGGCAGACGATGCAGTGGGCGCGGAGCTTTCACCCGTGGGAGCAGGAGCAACAGCAGTAGCCGTCGGTGGAGGGGACGTGGCACCCTTAGGATCATCGACCTTTTTGGCTTGAGGAGATGCTGGTGCGAAGTCGTCGTCGAAACCGCCACGCTCGCTTGCACTATCAGATTCGTCCTCGTCGCGGTCAAGCTCAGAAATTGGAGGGAATTCAGAATCGAATGCCGAAAATGATTTGGCTCCGTCAGCACCAGGCTTGTCTGAGCTCTTATGCGCGTTTGTGAAGCTTGCAAAAGCATTGTCGAAGTCAGCCTTGGCCTTGTCCTGATCCATTGCGGCGAATGGGTCTGGGTTCGATGCGTCCACTGCACCGACTTCAGTTCCAGCTGTCGCGCCCTCGCCTGACGGCTGCGCACCACTTTGGCCCGCAGGCTCCTGTGGCTCAGCGTTGCTTGCGGTAGAAGTCGAGGCGGTGCTCTGTCCCGTTGTTGTAGGCTCGACGGGGAATGCTCCGGGCAATGAGGCCGCAGTGGGGGTGTCTCCAGACCCATCGGCACGAGAGGCAGGGGGTGACACGGCTCGAGAAGACGTAAGGGATTCGGAGGCCTCCGGAAACGGAAGGAAGCTCGAGCTAATCTGTCGTGATTCAGGCGGGGCGGGAGGTTCACTTGTGAGAGTAGCCTGGCGGCTGGCGATGGGTGATGTGGGGATAGGGGGATTTGAGTACGAGCCCAAGCTAGCAGTCGACGCCCCCGTGTGCTGGGGCTTGAATGATGGAGCAGGTGGTGGTGTGCTTGTCGATGTGGGAGGAGGGAATGCCGGGCCAAAGACATCGTCAAAAGACTTATCGCCGCTGAATGGCTTGGCTGGCGGCGGCGAGGTGAAGGTACCCATAATGTCAGTACTTCCTGTTCTACGGAAAAAGGGATTGTTTCCGCTCGCGGTCGAGGGCGCAGGGCTTGCGACTTGAGCAGACGTTGCCACTGGGGAGCTGGTGTTGATTTGTCGAGACAAGTCCTCGTTGCTCCTGGAAAGATCAGCGACTTCTGACTGAAGCTTGTCGCGCTCACCCTCGTTCGTAATCAGTTGTTTCTTGTTTATAGCGACGAGTCCTTTCTGCTGTCGAGCTTCAGATTTGAGCCTCTCAATCTGAGGCTTCAACTGGGCGATCTCAGCGTTGATGGCGCGGATCTTCTCCTTGAGATTGGCGTTCTCTTGCTGGTCAGCCTGGAATCCAGCCAAAACTTGCTGGTGCTGGTTCTGCAGGTCTCTGTAAGTCCCGTCCAGCGTCATACACTCGGCTTGGAGCTTCTTTGTTTCGTTTCTCGACGTGTTGAGCTGCACCTGCAACGCCTCCACGTCCTTTGCTTCTTTCTCGTACATTGTGCGAAGTTGAGCCAGCCGTTGCTCGAAATTCTTCTTCTGCGAATTGGCTTGGTTGAGATCATTCTGTGTGGAGGTACGCTGGCCCTGAACCTCCTGCATTTGCTTAGAAAGCGAGCCGACCTGATTTGACAGATTCGCCAATTCAGCAGTTTCATTCGTCAGCTTTTTGCTGACTTCAGGGTCACCATCGCCGAGAAGATCCTCAGCTGCGGACACAGCGGAGGGTTTGCCAGAATTCGAGTCTCCTGTAGGCTGCGCTGTGAGGCCGCGGCCAAAAGAAGAAGACGGCACAAAAGGCTTGAACTGGTTGCCGGTGGGAGAGGGCCGGATGGGGGAAGATGGGGCCAGAACTGCCGAACCAGACCCAAATGGGTCATTAGCTGTTGATCCGCCAGTTGAAAGGGCGACTTGAGCGGGTGCCGGAGCGGGCGGGGTGTCTAGGCCAAACAAGTCATCAAGGGCAGATTTCGGAGGAGCCGGGGCCGGGGCCGGGGCCGGGGCCGGGGCCGGCGCTGGGGCTGGTGGTTGGGGCTGGGCCTGAGGCGGCGCGTCAAATGGTGAGCCTGACGTTGTAGGTCGCGGCTGTGTTCGGAAGCTGGGAGGAATCAAGTTAGCAGGAAGCGCTGTTGGCAGAGCAGTCGAGCCATCTCGTCTGCTCCTTTGCTGGCGGATCAGATACATCGCGACTGCAAAAGTATCCCGGTTCAGTCGACCCTCTGAGTTGATGTCTGAGAGATCCCAGATCTGGGCCAGTGCATCCTCTGGGAGATTGGATTGGCTTAGAAAGGGGACGGCCTCTTCGCCGGTGATGAAGCCCTTTTGAGACTTGTCAAGGTCATTGTAAAGTGCGTCAAATCGGGCCTTGTCAGCCGAAGTGATCAGCCAGTCGCTTCCCGGAGTACCAGTCGTCTGGGCAGTAATCGGCGGGCGTCCAAGAGGACTGCCTGCGCGAAACTGGGCCGAACCACTCATTTGCCGGGGGATTGCAGATATTGGTCCGGTGCCCGTAGGCGACTGACGAGGCGCGGCAGGTCCACGACGGGTCGCAGCTTCGTAGAGGGCGGCGGGAAGAATATTGGGAAGACCTCTTAGCGCGCCGGTCTTCATAGACGTGAGCAAATGCATAGCAATTACAAATTCTGTCAGAACCAAGGCCCCGCGCTGCTCGGTATCGGCCAACTGCCAGATTCTACCCAAAACCTCGTTCGGCAGGCCCGACTTTTCAAATATAGATTTTGCCTGGTCACCGGGAAGCAGGTTGCCAGCTTGAAGCGGCTGGCGCTCGAACAAGCCGGCATACTGATTGACCTTCTCAGGGGTCAAAGGGGGGATTCGGATGGGGCCTCCTCCGGTGCCTTGCGCCTGAAGAGCAGCAGCAGCAGGGGGAGGAGTCGGAGATGCAAGAGGACCTGCGGGAGGGGGCAAGCCATCGAAGCGCGGCAGTGGTCCCTGCTGTAGGGCCAACTCTGGCGTCGGTTCTCTTCCAGCCTGGGCGTGACCAATGAGCCGCAGCACCAGACCGAAGCCGGCAGGAGTTAGGAAGCCTCGGTTTTCCTTGTCTGCGATCTGCCATATCTGTCGTATGTGTCGTTAGCCACTTGCGCTGGATTCGGGCAGTAGCGAGCAGCAAGTATCAATCGGCCCTCACCTCTCCCAGTATTCTCGAATCGAGTCTTGTCTTCTCGAAGAACTTCACTGCCGTCTCTCCGGTGACAACACCGACGCTGTCCGAGTCAGCCTGGCGAAAGAGTTGACCGTACAGGCGCTTCTCTTCGGCGTTGAGGTTTAAATTCGGCACAGCTGTGAGACAATTGTCGTCAGCATCTAGCTATCACTCATTGCCGCGCAACGCGCTGTCACCATCGAAAGAGTCCACTTACCCGCATCGACGCCGTCAGCAGACATGATGGCGGCGTGGAACTCCTGCCTCGGGGTGGTACTAGCAATCAAGACGGGCTGTTTCCAAGTGTATCTAGAGGTGGTGGAAGTTGTTCGTTGGTTCAATACGGCGGCCTCCGGGGGGCTGGGGTGAAAGAAGCGTGAGTCTGACGATCGGGAAACTGCAGGTTAGATTTCACGGCAAGTAAAGTGTTGCTATTGAAATGAATGGACGGCAGGATCATACCTTGTACACAGATGATGGCCCGGATAGCCCTTTAGTCCCAAAGGATCAGCCTTGGAAGGAGAGGAGGTGGCTTGTGTTGATGCTGTTCGTGGACTGTGGACTGTGGACTGTGGACTGTGGACTGTGGACTGTGGACTGTGGACTGTGGACTGGCTGGGGGTTTAGTTTGGTTCAAAGGTCGTCGGGCTGGTAACTGGCAGGCCGCGCCACCTGCCTTACCTAGGTGCCTACCTTACGGATACACAAACAAGTACGTACCCAGGCCAGGCGTATTCAGCCACCTGTGTGAAGGTATAATGAGCACACACATATGCCCCATAATAAAGCTCGGGCACTGCACGTCCTGTTGCAGCTCTGAGTCCAGTGTAAGGTAGGTAGGTAAGGTAGGTAGTTACCTACACTGGACACAGAAGCACCTAAGATACACTGAGGTACCTGCACCCGAGGTTGCTTGAACATCCGAAAGGCCCGCTCCGCTCTGTCAGTTTCATTTCATTGAACTCGAATACATCCATCAGTTAAGATGATTAAATCTGGCTGGAAGAGACTCACTCTGCAGACCTTGCAGTGTGCAGCTTTATCTTTGAATATATATGCACAGTGACACAACACACGCATGCACAATGCAGATCTGCGAAAGGTAAGGATGCTGACTGAGACCAGGTGTCACGTAGCCTGAGGAGCACAATTTATGTATCCTCGGTAGCATTAAAGTTGGCTATTCTTTTTCTCACTCTAACAACTGAAGTAAACACGCCACTGGCTCAACGGACTCATCAAGTGCAAAGACCCATGGCAACGGAGCCTGCACCCTGAGAAGAATGGAGGGCGACTTCTTCCGCATCCAAACGCCGAGATATACACATCTTAATACTCTGCCTCAAGGCCCTCCTCACCTTCAAGAGAGTCGGCCGCAACCTCCTCATAATCACGCTCGAGGGCAGCAAGATCCTCACGAGCCTCAGAGAACTCGCCCTCCTCCATACCTTCACCAACGTACCAGTGGACGAAGGCACGCTTGGAGTACATGAGATCGAACTTGGTCGACAGGGCGGACCAGGCCTCCGCAATCGCAGTTGTGTTGGAGAGCATGCAGCTATTCGCATTGTCAGTAGACTGTTATGCCGCTAGGCATGGAGAGATGAGGATGTGACTTACACAGCGCGGCTGACCTTGGCGAGGTCACCGTTGGGCACCATCTGAGGAGCCTGGTAGCAGATACCAAGCTTGAAACCAGTGGGGCACCAATCAACAAACTGGATGGTACGCTTGGTCTTGAGAGTAGCGACAGCTGCGTGGGCATCGTTGGGGACGACATCTCCACGGTACAGCAAGCAAGTTGCCATGTACTTGCCGTGACGGGGGTCGCACTTGACCATCTGGTTGTTGGGCTCGAAGCAAGACATGGTCATCTCCTGGACAGAGTTGGCCTCGTGGGCGGCCTTGGCGGCAGAGATCATGGGCGCGTAAGCGACCAAAGGGAAGTGAATGCGAGGGTAAGGCACAAGGTTGGTCTGGAACTCGTTCAAGTCGACGTTCAGGGAGCCATCGAAACGGAGGGAAGCGGTAATGGACGAGACAACTAAGTAAAAGTCAGATGCAAGCTCGCATATTGCACGATCGTATCTGAAGGCTTACCCTGGGCAATCAAGCGGTTGAGGTTCTCGTAGTTGGGGCGCTCAAGACCCAGGTTACGACGGCAAATGTCGTAGATGGCCTCGTTGTCGACCATGAAGGAGCAGTCGGAATGCTCGAGGGTGGTGTGGGTGGTGAGGATGGAGTTGTAAGGCTCGACGACAGAGGTGGCGGTCTGCGGGGCGGGGTAGACACAGAACTCGAGCTTGCTCTTCTTTCCGTAGTCGACGGACAGACGCTCCATCAGGAGAGCGCCGAAACCAGAGCCAGTACCACCACCGAAGGAGTGGAAGACGAGGAAGCCCTGCAGGCCAACGCAGTTGTCGGCAACGCGGCGGACCTTGTCGAGAACCTGATCGATAAGCTCCTTGCCAACGGTGTAATGGCCACGAGCGTAGTTGTTAGAGGCATCCTCCTTGCCGGTGATCATGTGCTCGGGGTGGAAGAGGCCGCGGTAGGGGCCGGTGCGGACCTCGTCGACGACGTTGGGCTCAAGATCGCAGTAGATGGCGCGGGGGACATACTTTCCCTGGCCTAGAAGATTTGGTCAGCACTCACAGCGGAGGCGAGAATACTTCAGGACGAAGCATACCAGTCTCGGAGAAGAAGGTGCTGAAGCCATGGTCGGGATCGGCCTGCTTACGCTCCTCGGTCAAGTATCCATCGGGCTGGAAAAGGCATCGGGTTAGCATTCTGTGGACTGGATAGGAGCGGCGGGTTGCCAACGTACCTGGATACCGTGCTCGAGACAGTAGAGCTGCAGAAGGAATCAAAGTCAGCCATCAGACGCATGAAGAAGCAGGTCATCATCAAGTATGGCCACTGATTGGGCCAGCAGAGCTTCGTACCGCGAGTTGACTCGGCGGCACGGCGGAACGGAATCAGCACAAGTCCAGACGTACCTCCCAGCAGGCGTTGGCAATCTGGCAACCAGCCTGACCGACTATAGGGAGACAAGTCAGCAACCGTGTGTTTTCAAGTAGCAGAATAAGGATGTTCGTGACAAGAGATATCAGCGACCGAAAGGCAGCTTGCGAAGGAAACGGAAGTGAGAATGCGGTGAAGACAGCCGGCGCGTGGGGTCAGGGGAGATCAAAACAAAAAAAAAAACAGGCGGCAACTTACCGTTGATGCTAATGACCTCACGCATGATTGCGGCGACGAGAGGAAAATGAGACGAGCGACTGAGAGTAGAGGTAGGGAGCAGGATCAGGAGCGTCGGGAGTGTCGAGCAAGCAGAAAAAAAAAAGTTGTTTTTGCAGCTATCGCGAGAGGATGTCGACAGGAGGTTGAAAAGGTTAGGTTAGGCCTGGCAAGTACAAGGGAAAGAATAATAGGTTGTGCTAGGTGCCGGGCTCGTGCTCCTCGTTTTTGGTGGTGCTGCTGGAGTCCTCGACTGGGTTCCTCAGGTGGTCGAAGTCGGGGTGGGGTGGGATGGGAAATTTGGTGCGCAACAGGGGCCGTGCTACAGTTTTTGTTGATATGAGCCTCCCCGAATTGGTAAGCGCGTCTGTCCACGTCTCTCTCAGACAACCGTCCAAAGGACGACTGGCCAATGGCCGCATCGAGTCGCGTTCCTCCCGGGGCGTGGGGTCTTGCCTATTGGCCCCGTGGTGGAGATCTTCTGGCAGGTACAGGCCAGTCAGTGATTGGTTTGATAGGGGAGCAAGGGCCCTGGGCCGAAGCCCAGTACACCGCACTTCGCTGGGAAAGGCAACGCCGGTGACAATTCCTCTCCATAGTTTTCAACCTTCAGCTGCCTGAGGTAGCTTGACTGTGCACAGCTGCCTCATCTTAGGTGAAGTGCTTTACAAAAACACAAGTGGTTTAACGCGTTCTAGATTGTTTACCTGAGAACTAGGTAAGCAGGTACCTATCTGAGGTGTCTAGGTAGGAGCGAGCTGCGCTGTATAGGTAGAAGCAGAAGCAGCAGTTGTGCAAGCATAAAGGTAACAGGCGGGACGAGAGAGAGAGAGAGAGAGAGAGAGAGAGAGAGAGAGATAGAGAGAGAGAGAGAGGACACGAAGGGCATGCACATACCTACGGAGAAAGAGAAACCCGTCGAAGATCCCCAGAGCCGAGGGACCAGCCATTCGGGCTTGCAAGATGAGGCACGCTGCATTCACTTCTGATATCAAATAAAGGCAGAGCAGGGGCACGGACACGGACGATAGAATCGCCAAATTGCGCTTTTTCCTGCCTGCCTACTTACAACTTTTGGTAGGAAAGCTGCCTTAGATCGCAATACCATCATTTCATTCTGACGAGTCTGTCCCGGACGCCATTTCAGGCGCTCTCCCAGCTCGAAGTAGATCACGGGGCGCCGCAATAGACGTAAGTATCTCGCATCCATCAGTGTGAGGTACATGTCTGCACCGCGGTCGGCACACGGAACGGACAGTGGAAACGGACCCATCCGAGAACCGTCGCGGCGGCGGGGACAACATCTATCTTTTGTCACCTGCATACATCCTTGTCTCCAACACCACATCGAATAGGTTCGAAGGACAGACTTGCTATTTACCATCGAACAAGATATATGCCACCTCTCTCCCTGATTTCTCTACCACGGGAATATTCCGACCGCAATCTGCTTCACCTCAGACCACAACCCCCCTTGGGCTCTGTGCCGCGCTTGTCACATGCGCCTCTCACTACAGCATGGCCTTTCCATGGCCATTTTTTCCAACTTCGCTGGTGCGAATACCGAGAAGGTCATTTTCCAAGCGCCAGAGACTATCAATGTTCCGAATACATCGCCCAACCTCGGCGACCTCCGCCTAGACATGCTCACACCAGACCACTGGTCCAAGAGGATTGATCTGGCGGCTTCTTTCCCGGCCCCTGCGTCTCCCTTTGGGAGCCCAACCTGGTTGCTACTCAAGAACCTCACACAAGACCAGCGGTATGAGCTGAGAGTGTGCTGGGCGGCTACTGTAAGATGCTTCACACCCTGTTCATCATCATCTCACCATTGACGACCAAGTAGCAACCTACAGCTTTCACCCTCGATGTGTTTGAGCTGCCCGTTGTTTGGGACACCCCCGAGCTCATCTCTTCTCTTGCGAAATATGCCTCCTCTCGCATCGCAAACCGTGAGGCGGATAGCTCTTCGGCCTCGTACGCAATGCCCATGGAGCAAGAAACTTCCCTTTTTTTCCTCAGGATCTTGGCTGCGGCGGATTACTACACTGACAACGCCACGCTCATGGCCAATGTTGAACACGTTCGCGCCGACCTCATACTCGATCCATTTCTACTGAATGCTTTGCCGAGGTCACTACTTCCGACCGTCTTCTACATCAAGGGGGTGTCCATCATGGCCTGGCTTCTATCTAGGGTCATTCTGATTTGGATTCAGCCAGTACTTGCCGCTGAAGGCAAGCCTGAGAGGAAGAAAAACATTTAAGCACGAGACTACCGCATCTATCGCCCTCTCCATGCATTCATGTCTTGCTCAAAATGAAGGGAGTTCTAACGACAAACATCGACTGCCTACAAATCGGGACCGCACCAGTTTGCGTCACGGACTCTAGACTCCTCCTCGCTCTCGTCTCGACATAGTTAGGCTCCCGAAGCGAGACGGTACAATTTCTGGCTGGCTTCTGTTTCTGGCTTGTCCAACAAACCTCCTAGCCTGACGAACCAGTGGAGCGAATAGCAAGAAGCGCCTTCCTGGACGTGAAAGGCACAAAATGCAGCCCCATGCCATGTCACACTCATGTCTGGCCATGGAACAGTCCATTCCTCATGGCACTCAGTAGTGGGTGTTGTAGCCACCCTGCTGAGAAGAATTGCCAGCATACGAGGGTTGGCTGGGGTAGCCACCGGGCTGGGAGCCTTGGGGGTTCCCACCACCGTAGGTTGCCGGGTTGTATCCGCTGTACTGCTGTTGCTGTTGTTGGTTAGACTGAGCGGCGTAACTGGGTTGCTGACCATATGATGAAGAGGGCCCGCCAGAAGGCGGAGGAGGGTACTGGTTATGAGATTGCTGAGGCGGCGCCCCATAAGCGGTGTTGTGATGCGTCTGGCCCTGGTTCGGCGTGGAGTACTGGTTAGGCGGTGGAGGAAATGACTGGTTGTGATTCTGGGCTTGAGTCGGCGGCGGAGGATACGACTGTTGGTTGTGACCCTGGTTGGAAGCGGGCGAGTGGTAGGAAGAGGCACCTGCCGGTGGGGATGAGTGCTGGGTATGCGTCGAGCCCGACGGCTGGTAAGAGGTAGGAGGAGCCTGGCCAGAGTAACCGCCGCCGCCAGAAGCGCTGTTGGAGTATCCGTAATCGTTGCTCTAGAAAGACAATCAGTAATGTCACATGGGCGTCTGCGCGTGCTCTAGAACCTACGCCGTGAGCTGGCTTATTACCACCAAACATATTGGCGACACCGCCCATAAGAGAACCTGCGAGACCTCCATGCTGCTGCTGGTGTCCCGTAGACTGGCTGCCGTGGTAGTTCTGCTGCTGTCCCTGATGGCCTTGTTGCCCCTGTTGCTGCTGCTGCTGCTGCGGTTTGTTGAGGAAACTGGAAGCCAGTGCACCTCCGAGTTTGCCCAGAGAGCTCTTTCCCCCACTACTAGTATTGGCGTTGTTATTTCCATGACCTCCAATCCCACTGATTAGCTGACTTGCAAGCCCACCGAGAGGACTTGAAGAATTCCCATGGGAGCCTGATGAGTTGTTATGGCTGGAGTTCTTGCCAAGCAGCGCGTTCATAGCCATGCTCTGTGGACAGACGGCAGGTCAGCATGATGTGAGCAGAGAAACGTAGCAACAAAGAAGACGCAAGGAGGCGAGCATAAGATCTTGAAGACGATAAGGACGACGGGCAGACGTACACCTAGGCCACGGTCGCCCGTCGGACCATCAAGACCTCTCGTGTTTGTATTGTCGGGTGGCATGGGAGGGTTGACGGGCTCCAGGGTGCCATCGGCGTGTCGCACGGTCTGGCTACCGTCGGGATGGGTGATGAGTTCGGGTTGAGGAACGCCGTACGGATGATCAGAGGGTTGGGCAGGAGTTGCGCCTGTAGGAGCGGCGTCGGTCGGGACCTCCCATTGCGAGACACCGGTGGAAAGCTGCACGAAGTAGTACTTCTTGCTTGAGCCATCCCACTGGGCGATCCAGCCAGCAGGGAGATGGGGCGGGGCAAACGTGGGGCCTTCGGTGCCCGGCGAGGTCGGACCTGCCATCAGAGAGTAAAACGGCGTCGTCTGGTCGTAGGCGAACGGAGGGTAATAGTATTCGGTGAGGCCGCGAGGATGGAGTGTGGAGGTTGTCGAGGGTCGAGAGAAAGTGGTGTTGGGTGCAAAGGACGGCGGGGACGGTTGGAGGGTGGACGCGGGTGCGGTGCTGTGCGGTGCGTTGCAGCCAGGTACGTTCTTTAGGTACCTGTTCGTGCGGTGTTGAAGTGGAAGGTAATTAGGTATGGATGGAGATTGGCTGCACGTATTGGCTCTGCAATTGGATGGCCCCGGGAGCTTAGCAAGTAACGTAGGTAGGTATCTCACCTACCTTACCTCAAGGTAGGACCCAGGTCCAGATTTTGAATTGAAGCCGACGGGAGTGTCCAGATTCTTGGTAAGGTGCTCTGTATATTACCTAGCACGCCTAGGTAGGTAGGCAGGAAGGAGAAGAATTGGACAAGAGCCGCCTGAAGTTACTGCAGTCAGAATAACAGACGTGCTGAAGAAGACCCTGTTTCACTGTCTGTGTGCCAATTTGAAGGGCTGGTTACGACAGCTTTTAGCACTGCCCCAACCAAGTTGCTGACAAGTTGCTGAACTGCACGCTTGCGCTGCTACGCCGCCTTACGCCCTTATGTCCACCCGGCCTTCATCTCAGCACCTTATCCGACAACGCGACCCAGAGGTTTTAAGTGTTTCTGTCCAGTGACAGGGGATCAGGACCAGGACGGGACAGGACGGGACAGGACGGGACAGGACGGGACAGGACGGGACAGGACGGGACAGGACGGGATAGGACGGGGACGGGGGGCGGCTTCAAATACCTCGGCCAATGGATGTTCCGCTAAGCCACAGCCCGGGCCCTGTTGCCGCATCATATTGTGGCTTGGCAAGTGTCAACATCATCTGCAACTTGCAAGTCATCATGTTCAGACTCAGACTGTGGATCTGATCCCTCTGCATTATATTGTTTGGCTTTCAGATGGACTTCGTTTCCGAGAAAATGACCTGCCAGGGACGCACCATGCCCTCATCACCAGTTGTGACAAGCATCTCCTCCGTCCCTTTTCTCTCTGATCCCGCGTCGTACCTCTTGCACCAGGTAATATGGTTGATCTCGTATGGACCGTGAGCGTTCGGTACCGTCGCTTCTACCCTCCACCCCCCTGATTGACCCGGTCGCTCGCTGGCTTTCTCAGGTGCTTCTTCGTCGTCGTTTCCCATTCCGACCCTTGTATCATCATACTCCCGGTACACGGCAATGACACCGTCACTGCCAGTGCTGGCCATCAATCCTGTATCGGCACTCCAGGTCACTGAGTAGATGTCCCTCGTATGCGCCTTTGGAAGGATGGCGTCGCAACCCCACTCCTCGCGAAGCGACCTTCGCATGGTGTTGGGAATGCCCCCAAGTCCTGGACGGAAAACCGAACCTACACTCGCCCCGTCCTCCACGTCCTCCTCTTGTAGACTCCATAACCGTATGGTCTGGTCCGCCGAATAGGTCATCAGCCTCGGGAATCCATTGTCCGCACGCGGCTTCTGTTCCCACTGCACACCCCAAATGGTGCCGTCATGGCCCTCCAGTACCGCCACACAAACCCATTCTCCATCGCCATCTTCGCGCCATATCCGGACCGTGTTGTCGTAACTCGCGCTCGCAAGAACATCAGCGCTGTACCTTCTACGCGAGTTTCTCCCGGGCACATCGGGACACCATGCGATGCCCTTCATATCTCCGTTATGTTCGTTGAGCACGGCAACCGTCTCCCACTCGTCATCCCCTTCGGAAGCGCCCACATCTTCCCATATCCACACAGTCTGGTCTCTGCTACACGTGGCGAGGTAGGCGCCTGAAGGCGCAAATGAGACGCCCTTGATCTCCGAATCATGACCTTCCAGCACTAGGGTGAACTCCCAGTCCTTGTCCCCATCATCGTCGGTGTTTCCTTTGCTGTTGGCTCGCTGCGACGAATTAAGGTCGATCTCGAGGGAATCGCTGGCAGTGTCGTGGCCGGAAAAAGGTAGCTCGCCATCCCATCGCCACAGGCCAGCAGTAGAATCGAAGCTGCCGGTGACTAGGCAGAGCTGTTGAGGTGGGAGATTGGGCTTCCAGGCAACTGAACGAACGGAGCGTGTGTGGCCGCCGGAGAGGCTGCTGTGCGAGGACAGCGAGGATAGCGAGTAGATTGTGACCGATTTAGAGTGGGCGGTCGCAATTAGAGGCAGCGTCGGGTGCGGCACCGAGCACCATGCGCGTTCGTAGAGATCAGGCTTGAAGGGCGGGAGCGGACTGATGCGGATCGCCAAAGATGGCGGCACATCCGTTGACGCGGGCATTGTTATGGGGGTAGTCGCAGCGAAGGCGATGTCGCACAACTGACTGTGCGAACGGAACAATCGGCTGCTCAAGATTCACACAAAATCTCTGTATCTACCCACCGTAGAGACTGTTGTTTGCTTTGCAATGCCGGTTGCGAGAGTGAACGCGGCAGTGCTGACGGTGCAGATAAGTATGGGTAAGAGCGCAGGACATCTGGTGATGCAATTAGATGCCCCACCATGCCCTGTAGCATGCGCAATGTTTTCACAGTACAGATAGCAGCGGAGTGAATTCTACCCCGCGGTCGGTGCGTCGCTGGGATTCACTACACTCCACCCGGTCAGGTTATGAGGTTCTTCCTTTAGGTCGGGCCGTATCGCTACTACAACGGGCAATCTTTCTTCCAGCGACCTTTAATCTCCGATAAAGCCCTACACCGCCTATGGATCGCTGTCAGCCGGAGCTGTCGGCCCCACATCGACATTTGCCGCCAGACCGTACACGATATTGATCCAGCAATGGGAAAAAAAAGGAGAGAGGCACCAAGACATTCTTCCAATATGCAGTTTCATGAGGGAAGCGGTGGATTTGAGAAGAAGGACGGGACACTCCGTGCAGGTGCACAAACTGTTGCGGGTGGGGGTTGATCCTGGTGCGTTTGGAAAGTGAAGCCATAACTCGAAGGAGAAGGGGAAGTTCAACCACCATCTCAATTTACATCGGTGGAGACAATTTGAGATGTTACACGCATATTCCATTGCCAACCATCGACCCCCGAACCAAACTCTCCGCTCATCGTTCAGATGGTGACTGGGCCGATGCTAGTCCGGTGGCATAGTCGAACCCGGCGGAAACCATGACCAAGAACTGTGATATGTTGCCATCAGCCAAGTAAATGCAATTTTTTTGCAATCGAAGGAGTGGCGGGCCATGATTTTATATCACCTACATGATCTTTTTTTTTTTTTTTCTCCTGCAGACAAAGCTGTCACGTTCGCGGCTGCTATCCGTTGGGTTTCATAGGAAATAATGAACGCCTTCACCGCCAGCGTGTTATATTGTCTAGTAGGTGAAAAAACTGCCGCAGCATGGTTTCTACAACATGAACAGACCGAGACTTCAGGTTGCCCGACTCATTCTGCGCATTGCTCGCTGATCTACTGGACGACGGAACCATGCCTTGGCTTCGAGACCCGATGTCGTCAAAGACCGCATGTTGAATGTAGGGTCAGAAAAAGCGGCATTGTCCGACTCAACTGAGAACCAGTCGTTCCGTATCCCCAGCCGTGTCGGGCATTTCTTCAATTATGGAGGACCTCCGTTAGCTCCCACCTGAGCAATCGTGGTTTAAAGGTCACTTAGGAGGGGCCTTCAGCCCAGCCTAGAGACAAATCCTCGAGTTCAACCTAGCAAGACTGACCCCACATGCGTGTGGTTTCTGCAGCCGGTGGCTGTCACTTGTCGGATGACGATCTGGAAAGCAAAGTCGTACGAGAAGTCGTCTGTATTCAAAAGATCGCCTTGAGACCATCATCGCCTGCGCCGTTGGTTGGTGCCGGGCTTCCGTTAGCTCATGGGCTGAAAATTCTCCAGAGCTAGCCGCAGACTTTTCGCCCGCACCGGCGAGGAACAGCAATAACACTATGTGGCACGCAAAAGTTACGTCGCAGCTTTTGGTGCACCCCCAAAACAAATCATTGAGAAGTGTGGCGCGAGGTTGAATAGATCCCCTCAGGTTTAGAGAACGGATTAATGAGAACCACGCGGCAGAGAACAGACCGACCGTCTTTTGAACCACCCATCAAATTATTAGCGTAGCATGAGAAAGGAAGCATGACTGACTGACGGACTATAAGTATTTGACTAAATTCGATTCGGTTTATGCAGGAGGTCTTCCCACAGCTTTACATTGCAAGAATCATCATGGTAGCAATCGCGGCGGTGATCTTTCGATGAGCTGTGTGATGTGCCGAGGATTCTCCTTGCTCAGGTGAAATAGCCAGCATGTTGTATGATATGTCCTAATGAGAGCTCCTAGCCCAGGTTGGCAGCCAGACTGGAGCAAAACAGGGAATGGAGGCCACACATGACAGTGGAACACAGTCGAAGATCCTGCCGGCTATCGTATTATTGGGGTCGCCGTACTTGTGTGATGACGGGTGAGGGCCCAGCAGCCGAGACATTGGAACAACCAAGCCATTTGAGCGACATTGTGCTTGGTGATACACAACATAATTCTTGTTTCTTCCAAACCCTTACTTCTGCATCCCCCCGCCTCCTTTCCCCGGCTCATGACGAAACTAAACCTCAATCGCCCTTGGTGAATACGAGTTGAATTGGCTGGATCGTGATGGCTCACGAATGAACTCAGCGACGGGCCCACGTCACCGCTGCGTCGAGAGTGTCCGGTGCGTTAGGTCACTGCACTGATAAAGGTTGCCGAGTAAACGAGACGAGCTGGCATATGCCATGCAACTGCAACTTTCGGAGGAACGCGTAGTGGTAGCGGGGTGACGGGGCTTTCATCCCTTTCCCTAGAAGAGCAGGGACTAGACGGCCGAGCCAGGCCGAGCTAGAAGTCAGCAATGCGGCAGTAATCCGCGAGCATCTGGTGTTTCCCAAGAGCAGGTTCGAGTCCATGATTGGCGAAACCTGTGAGAGGCTCCCGAGCAGGATATGCCGC